TTCTCTCAAGCATAGCTTTTTGTGTTCTAGGGAAATTAGTATAACAAATGCTTTCTGTATATTTTTCCTTTAATGAGTTTAGATTTCTTAAATCCTTTTTTTTTTTTAATTTATAACCAAGTTAGTTAACATATAGTGTAATAATGATTTCAGGAATAGAATTCATTGATTCACCACTTACATATAACAGCCAGTGCTCAACCCAACGCATGTCCTTAATGCCTCTCACCCATTTAGCCCATCCCCCCACCCAGCACCCCTCCAGCAACCCTGTTCATCCTACATATTTAAGAGTCTCTTATGGTTTGTCTCCCTCTCTGTTGTTGTATTATTTTTGCTTTCCTTCCCTTATGTTCATCTGTTTTGTACCTTAAATTCCATGTATGAGTGAAGTCATATGATATTTGTCTTTCTCTGACTGATTTCCCTTAGAATAATATACTCTAGTTCCGTCCAAGTTGATGTAAATGGCAAGATTTCATTCTTTTTGGTCACTGAGAAATATTCCATTGTCTATAGATACCATATCTTCTTTACCCATCATCAGTCGATGCAAATTTCAGTTCTTTCCATACTTTGGCTATTGTCGATAGTGCTGCTGTAAACATTGGGGTGCATGTGCCCCTTCGAATCAGTATTTTTGTGTCCTTTGGATACAGATACCTAGTAGTGCAATTGCTGGGTTGTAGGGTAGTTCTATTTTTAACTTTTTGAGGAACCTGCATACTGTTTCCCAGAGGGGCTGCACCAGTTTGCATTCCCACCAGCAGTGCAAAAGGGTTCCTCTTTCTCCACATCGTCGCCAACATCTGTTGTGGCCTGAATTGTTAACTTTAGCCATTCTGACAGGTGTGAGGTGGTATCTCATTGTGGTTTTGATTTGTGTTTTCCTGTTAATGAGTGATGCTGAGCATCTTTCCATGTGTCTGTTAGCCATCTGGATGTCTTTTTTGGGAAAGTGCCTGTTTGTGTCTTTTGTCCATTTCTTCACTGGATTGTTTGTCTTCTGGGTGTTGAGTTTGAGAAGTTCTTTATAGATTTTGGATACTAACCCTTTATCTGATATGCCCTTTGCAAATATCTTCTCCCATTCTGTTGGCTGCCTTTTAGTTTTGCTGATTGTTCCCTTCACTGTGCAGAAGCTTTTTACCTTGATGAGGTCCCAATACTTCATTTTGCTTTTGTTTCCCTTGCCTCCAGAGACATGTCAAGTAAAAAGTTGCTGTGGCCAAGGTCAAAGAGGTTGTTACCTGTTTTCTCCTCTAGGATTTTGATGGCTTCCTATCTCACGTCTAGGTCTTTTGTCCGTTTTGAATTTATTTTTGTGTGTGGTGTAAGAAAGTGGTCTCGGTTCATTCTTCTGCATGTGGCTGTCCAGTTTTCCCAACAGCACTTGCTGAAGAGACTGTCTTTTTTCCATTGGATATTCCTTCCTGCTTTGTCAAAGATTAGTTGGCCATATGTTTGTGGATCCATCTCTGGGTTCTGGGTTCTGTTCCATTGATCTGTGTGTCTGTTTTTGTGCCAGTACCACAGTCTTGATGATTAACAGCTTTGTGAAATAGCTTGAAGTCTGGAAATGTGACGCCTCCAGCTTTGGTTTCCTTTTTCAGGATTGCTTTGCCTATTTGAGGTCTTTTCTGATTCCATACAAATTTTAGGATTGTTTGTTCTACCACTGGGAAGAATGCTGGTGTGATTTTGATAGGGATTGCTCCTTTTAATGACTGAAAAAAAAAAAATTCTTAAGATGAGTGCAGGAATTTTTTTCTTTGATCTATGTAGAAGAGAGATTTCTATTTCAAATGAGATAGTATATATTTGGAAGAGTTCATAAAATTATTATTCTAAGATTTCCACACATGAATATTAAATTGGATATGAGGGACCTAAGTTAAATGTCAAGATATAATTGTACCTGTTACTCTTTATTTCCTCCTTTTATGCTCTTTTATTCATTTATGACTTTTACTTGTCTACTATATGCCAGGCACTGTGCTATCTCCTTAGATTTTAAAAAATAGTAAAATGTGATTTTTGCCTTTAATGATCTTATATTCCATACTTTTTTTATAAATTCACATTTCCACAAGCGAGTAGGTGTTAGTAACATACAAAGTATAATGTAATTTGCAGACTAGCATTATAGGCCTTTTGACTAGAAGTTAAGGAAGACTTGAAATGTGGAGATTTTGACCTATGTCTTGAAGATGATTGACGAATGTTTCAGAAAAAGAGGAAGAAGTCTAGGCCAGTCAAACATGTAAGAAAATAGACAATGATGTGTTTCAAGAAACAGTGAGTTTGTGCTCTGTTGTATTTGAAACATAAATTATGTGAAGGGAATTGGTAAAATATGGGACTTTTTGAGGCCAGGTGATGACTAACCTTTATGCCATGTAGAGGAGTTGATTGTGTGCCCAAAGAAGTAAGTAGGAAATTCAGAAAATGTTATTAAACACGAATTTTTGCCACTAGATACCTTTTATTTGCAGAGAAGATGCATTATAGAGGATGCATTAAGGAGGAGACCCACAGTGAAGCCTTCACTTTGGAAAGTAGTGGAATAGTTGTGGGAAGTAATGATGGGGCCAAAGGTTGGGCCATGAAGTGGAAATGGAATACAATTTAAAGATAATTTTAGAATTAGAATCATTAGGAAAATTAGAATCAGGAGACCATCTATTTAGGGTTTTGGTCTTTGAATTTGGCCAACCACTTCCTTGCTGTTGGACGTGAGATAGCTGAGACAGTCTTGTTATCAAGTGAATTGCATTAGGCCTACATTACTAGTTAGTGACAGAACTGGGTTCGTGATTCTAGGGTTTTCCACATTGCACCCTATTCTGATTGTGTCTCTAACGAATAGTTTTTTTTTTTTCTTAATCTTGCCATAACCTTGCATTTGTTTATAATTTATAGTGTACTTAATGTACATTATCTATTTTGTCTTGTTCAGCAACCTATGAAATAAATAGAATAAGCATTATTATCCTCTATCTGAAGGTAAGAAAACCAAATCAGTGTGGGTGCTATGCTTGTTCAGAATGTATCCAGTTTTATCATTGCTACCTAAATATCTTACTCCTTAAGTTTTTCCTTTCAAAATATATAGAATGTAGGAGTGCCTGGGAGGCTCAGTCAGTTAAGCGTCCTACTTTGGCTCAGGTCATGATCTCATGGTTCATGGGTTCAAGCCCCACTTCAGGCTCTGTGCTGACAGATCAGAGCCTGGAGCCTGCTTCGGATTCTCTGTCTCATCTCTCTGCCCCTCCCCCACTCATGCTCTGTCTCTATGTCTCTCAAAAATAAACATAAAAAAATTTTCTTAAATGAATAAACATTTTTAAAAAATTAAAGTATATAGCATGTTATAACTGCTAGATTCATTTATTAATACATTTATTAGTTTCTGTCCTGAAATTATCTCTAAACTTAAAGTAGATTTTAAATGTGTTGGTTTAAGGTGGTCTTGGTTTTAGCTTTGTTGTTTGGTGATCCATTTTGCAAGTAGAAAGGTCTGTTTCATGTCTGATAAATTCAGATTTTTATAAATTGGATTTATTTTTTATTAAAAAATTTTTTTCAATGTTAATTTTTGAGAGAGAGAGAGACAGAGCATGAGCGGGGGAGGGAGACACAGAATCCGAGGCAGGCTCCAGGCTCCAAACTGCCAGCACAGAGCCCAATGTGGGGCTCAAACCCACCAACCATGAGATCATGACCTGAGCCGAAGTCGGACGCTTAACCGACTGAGCCACCCAGGCGCCCCATAAATTGGATTTATTTAAAAATAAAAACATTTCCCTAAAATGCTTAATTTTATATTCTTGAGACCACTTTTTGTAGACAGTTTCTGTTAAATACCAGTTTCATGTTTAATTTGTGAATCCTTGGGCAAGTTGATAAATCTCTGTCAACTTCACTCTCTTGACTTTAGTTTGATAGAATAGTCTCAATAGTACTTAATTCACAGAGAGAGTTAATTATATTAGTGAGATGATTGCAAAGAATTTAGGACAGTTCCTGGTATATAATGATTATCTGATACATTTTAGCTATTATTAGATTTTTATTTCCTATTGTTTTATGCCAATCAGAATGTAATTATAAATATTGTTAGCCAAAAGTAAATCAGTTAACATTTATTATGAATTTTCCATCAAATAGTTTTTTTAGGTTCAACAGCACTAATATGATTTATATTTAATACCTATATAAACTATAATTAACAAATAAATATGGTCAGTTCCTATACTAAAGTAGTTTTGTTCCTAAAAATGTATTTTTTTTACATAACCCAGGTGTTTTGTATTCATACTTAGTGCTTATTGGTAGGATATTAAAAATATTTTTTATCTGTTTCAGAAAGTGTCTCTATCCTAATATCTTTTTCTATGGGGAGTCAAGATACTGAAACTTGATAGTAACAGAACATTCAATAAACTTGTTATTTTTGTCCTTTGCCACTAAATTTCTGAAAACATTAATAACTATTATACTATCTCAAGACAAATATTTGAATTCATTATGTTCGGTGGCTCTATAATATGTCTGGTGTTTAAGGAATGATTAAGGCACTGAAGCTTTGGTTCATTTTTATAGAAAAGCCAATCAGTGATACTTCTTCAACTCTATAAATTCAAGAAATTACCATAGCTATATTCTACTTAATACTGTCATTCTTGTTAGGTAATTTATTAAGATGATAAAGTACTTTATGAATGAATATGAATCATTTGAGTATGAAATATAATTTTTCCAAATAAAGTAGTAATAACTCTCACTTTATACCCTTGCCCTTTAGTGATATTTTTCCTTTTCACTCTCTTCCACATGCATTTTATTAGTAATAAAGGGCTCTTTTAGTATCTACCTCTTAGATCCATTTTAGGTGCACAAGAGTTAGTACTGATTTTATCATATTTGGATTTCTTTTCTAATACTTTTAATTATTTATGGTCTGTGAAAAGTGTTTATTAATTTAATTTCTATTTTAGGCAAGCCAAGTTAGATCTGAGAAGTGCAGCAGCAAAAGTGGATGAGTTAACCAAAGTAACTGAAGATCTTCAAGGACAGATGCAAAAGAAGGTATTTGCCTCTTTTTAGGGCAATTGGTAGCCTATAGCTTAGTTTTCTATGAATTTTGTTATTAAACTATTTTGGATTAGGTACTGAAGACAATTGCTGGAAAATGAATTAAAAATCATTTTGAGGGGTGCCTGAGTGGCTCAGGCGGTTGGGCGTCTGACTTAGGCTCAGGGAATCATCTCACGGTCTGTGGGTTTGAGCTCCGCATCGGACTCTGTGCTGACAGCTTAGAGCCTGGAGCTGCTTCGGGTCTGTGTCTCCCTCTCTCTCTGCCCCTCTCCTGCTTGCATGCGCTCTCTCTCTCTCTCTCTCTCTCTCTCTGACTCTCTCTCTCTCTCTCTCTTTCAAAAATAAACATTAAAAAAAATTCTGTTGCCCTAAATATGAAATGTGAAATTAGGAAGCTAAAGTATAATTTTGGAGATAACTTCTTTCCATTTACTTTATCCTGAGTTAATAAAACAGTAATCATTCATAAACACATCATTACTAAAAGACATATTAATGCAAGATCAAATTTGATTAATTGGGAATATGTAAATGAAGAGAAGCATTTAATACTACATTTTGTATTATTTTTAGAAATACTTATTGGCATAAGAAATTGGTTTTTTTATGTGTAATAAGGACATTTCACGAGACTCAAGGAATGGTCAGGCTTTAGATTTAGATGGGTCTAATTATTAAAAAGTCTAGCTCTGGTACTTACTAGCTGTGTAACTTCTCTAAGCCTTATTTCTTAATCTGTAAAAGTTGCTTACATATTTCTAGTAATGGTAGATTCATGAAAGACTTGCAAAACTTCCCATAGATAACAGTTATGAAAATTGGATACATTCTTTCAAACACTGGAACATGTCCCAAAACAGAAAGACACTGAAAGAGGTGTGAATTATAACTTTTTAATTTCTGACCTGAGAGTTTCACCAATCCCCATAGTTGTGACTTGAGAAAACAACAGGTTTATATGGACTTAAAATGGCCAAAATCAATGTTTAAGGCTGGAAAAGCAGTTGAAAATTTGAAAAAATTATTAGCAGCAAAAGAAACACAAAAAAGAGAGAGACCTAAATTCTGAGTACAAACTCTGACCAAATCCGTGTCTAACAGCCAAACTATGCATAGTGGAGTGGGAGAGGGAGTCCAGTGAAGAAGTAGGCAGTAGACCTGAAAGCAATCTACTCTTGAAAGATAGAGCTGTATGGAGCTAGATATTTGAGTTTGCTGCTTTCTGTAATTGAGTGCATTCCTGAAATGTGTGCTATTCAGGCAACAGAAAGCTGAAGACTTAATGTTTGAAGTATCAAAGGACAGAGCCCAGAGCAGCTAGAAATTACAGAGGAATCTATAATAGCAACAAAATCATGAAGAGAATGAGTCCTTCCTCTGCCCAAACTTGACAGATCCTCATATTAGGCAGGTACAGGAGAATTTCTAGGAAGCCTAGTTCAAAAACAAACAGTGGAAAGAAGTAAGTGATCAGAGTTGGCAGCTGCTCCTACCGTAGGGGAAACATTTCAGAGTTTGCACCTAAGCAAGATAATTGCCTACTCACAAAAAAGCCAGTAATGCTCAACAAAATAGAATCCAATGTATTATCTATATTATCCAGTTTTCAACCAAAACTTCCTTGACAGGAAAGTGTGACTGACAGAGTTGGGGTCGGGGAAACAGTCCATAGAAACTCACTCTTAGCAGGCCCAGCTCTTAGATTCAGCAGGCAAAGACTTCAAATAATCTGTTATAAATGTGTTCAAAGAATTAAATTACAGTAAAATAAGGTTTCAGTGAAGGAGCAGAAAGAGATTTTTTACTGAGAAATAGAAAATAATTTTAAAAATAGAAATCTTGGAGTTTAGGGGTGCCAGGATGGCTCACTTGGTTAAGCGTCCAATTCTTGGTTTTGGCTCAGGTCATGATCTCATGGTTTCATGAGTCCGAGCCCCGCATCAGCTCTACACCTGCTTGGGATTCTCTGTCTCCCTCTCCTTCTGCCTCTCCCTGACTCATGCTGTCTCTGTCTCTCTCAAAATAAATAAGCTTTAAAAAAAAAAAAAAAAAAAGACATTCCGGAGATCAAAAGTATAATAACCAAAATAAAAATTTTATTAGATGGTTCAAGAATAGATTGGGAAAAGCAGAAGAAATAAGCAATGAACTTGAAGAAAGCTCAACATAAATTTTCCTGTCCAAAAAACAGAATTTAAAACGTGGAAGAAAAGTGAACAAGTCCTCAGAGATCTATGTGAAAATATGAAGCAAGCCAACAAGAGTGTAATTGGAATTGTGGAAGGGAGGGAAACAGAAAAGATATCTAAAGAAATAATAGCTGAAAACTTCCAAAATTTGGTGGTAAACACATAAGATAAGCACAAAGAAAATTACTTCTAGACACATCATGACAACGCTGACAACCAGTTATAAAGCTAAAACTTGAAAGCAGCAACAGAAAAATGGCATGAACATGGGAACAGTGATAAGAGTAATGGCTGCCTTGTAATTAAGAAATGTGGAAGCAGAAGGAGTTCAAGATGGCAGAGTAGCATGGAAGCTCTCATCTTGTCTCGAGGTTGAAATGCAAATACATCACCACCAAGCCATTTTGCACATGTAGGAAACTGAGGTTTAACACAACAATCTGCATAACTGGAGCCACAGAACTCGACAGGTATGTGGTGTGGAGGGGTAGACTGAGGGAAAGAACAGCCACGAAGGGTAGGAAGCTGTTTTTGCAGAGGACAGGGAAAGGCAGGGGAGAGTGTGGCGCCTAGGGAGAGCGCAGGAAAAGTACTCCCCCTGAAAGTAGCTGGAGAGAAAGACAAAGAGTGAAAACTCTCACAAGGGGCTGAATAAGAAATCTGTTCCCCAAAATGACTTATGGGAAGAAAGGAGAGGGTTTCAATACCATTAGGATTCTATAAACATTAGAGCACAAAGTCTGAAATTCCAGAGCCCAGTGCTGGGTGGTGGTCTGGTGAGGAAAAGGGGCAAATCCCCAGAAGAAGGCAGTGGGGTCTGAGGGGTCCATGTGCTACACGGAGCAAAGTGGTTCCCTGCTTGGAGAGCATTAGGTAGGGTCCATACAGCCTCCCCACAGGCAAAGGTCCCAGCGGACCCCGGAGAGCAGCCACCTTTGCTGGTATTGAGACAGACACCAGAGTGCAGTGAAACCTGGTACCAGCTGTGTGTTTGAATTGCCACAATCTCAGAACCTCTCCTGCTGCACAATAACACAATCGTTTTCTCAGGCAAGCTGGTGCCCAGCCATTGATCAGTGAGACCCTGCCTGAGAGAGTTGAAGCAGGTCCAAGCCCCAGGATTCTCTGAAGTGAGGGATTTTAAAACACAGCCATGTCTGCGATAAAACTATGGAGGAAGGTGCTGCCTGGCAGGCTGACAATTTGGACACAGACAGGATAAAGGCGCAGAGTAGACAGAGACCTAAGACAAAGGAGGGGTACTTGATCATAGGTTGGTTAGAATGCAGAGTTTCTGTGCCAGACTAGGAAGCTAGGTGAAGCTATTTCCACCATTCCTGTATACATGCATGTGTGCATACTAGCCACACTGATCCACCCCATTAAGTTAAGCAGCGTCACCTAGTGGAGAATGGAGCCATTACACTAAGCCCCGCCCAGCTGTGCCCTCCCAACACATCCCCTAGAAGACCAGCACAAGTCTCTGAATGCTTTATAGAGTGTTTCATAGTTCTAGAGGAAACTGGATGTAACTTCATTCAGGTTTCATTCTGTTTGCTGGTTCATATACTTGTTTGTTTTCTTCTGTCTTTGTTTAAATTGGTTTTTTTCTTTGTTTTCTTCCTCCTTTTCCTTTTCTCGCATACAGTAAGAGAAAATTTTATTTTTATTTTATTTTTTCTTAAAAAATTTTAATTTTTTATTTTATTGTAAATTTTCTATTTCACTTTATTTCATTTTCTTCTATTTACATTTTTTTAATTTCTAAATTTTATCTTACCTTTTTTTTCTCTCTTTCCTTTTTTTTCTATAGTCTATCACGCTTCTTTCCAGAAGCAGACCAAACATACCTAGGATTTAGCTTCCTTTATTTGACTTTTTGTTTTGTTTTTAACTTTTTAATTTTTATTTTTTATTTCATTAATTTTTTCTTCCTCCAAAATGACCAAATGAAGGAATTCACCACAAAAGAAAGAACAGGAAAAAATGATAGCCCGGGGCTTAATCAATACAGATATAAGCAAGATGTCTGAACTAGAATTTAGAACCACAATAACAGGAAGGCTAGCTGGGGTTTAAAAAGCATTGAATCCTATCTATGGGGGAAAAAAATAAGTAAAATCTACTCAGGATGAAATTAAAAATGCTACAACAAAGATGCAGTCTCTAATGGATGCCACAGTGGCAAGGATGGACAAGCAGAGCAGCAAATCAGTGATACAGAAGACAGAATTATGGAGAATAATGAAGCAGAAAAATAGAGGGGAACAAAGGCAAGAGAGAACAATGCAGGACTTCAAGAATTTAGTGACTTATTAAAAAGGAATAACATCTAAATCATAGGAGTCCCAGAAGGTGAAGAGAGAGAAAAGGGACAGAGGGTTATGTGAGCACATTACAGTGGAAAATTTGCCTAATCTGGGATAGGACATAGACATCAAAATCCAAGAAGCACAAAAAACTCCCATTACAGTCAACAGAAACCAATCATCACCAAGGCATATCTTAGTCAAATTCATAAGATAAACAGACAAGGAAAGAATTATGAAAGCAGAGAAGGAAAAAAAGTCGTTAGCCTATAAGGGAAGACAGATTAGATTCACAGCAGACCTATCCACAGAAACTTGGCAGGCCAGGAAGGAGTGGCAGGATATATTCAATATGCTGAATCAGAAAATTATGCAGCCAAGAAATCTTTATCCAGAAAGGCCATCATTCAAAATAGAAGGATAAAGAGTTTCTCAGACAAAAACTGAAGGAGTTTGTGACCACTAAACCACTAAATTTTAAGGGGGAGTCTTT